CAAGGAGCCATGGGCTCGTGATACCACTGCTTATCCTCCAGTTATTAAGCATCAATACCACCCAGACCTCCTTCATCTAGCTAAATTTATCTTCTGCCAAAAATAACACATATCTGTTGACGGATTTCTTTTGTCGCTTTTCTAGCGAAGAAAAAAATATAAATATTTTGCGCCTTCACGGGCGATACGTCTTTTTGTTTTGTTATGTTTGCTTGTTTTTTGTTTGTTTAATGTTTTTTCAGTCTTTGATATGTTTTTGTTTTTTGCCTACGTCCTTTCTTTTGTCGAACTGTGAAAAATAATCATGCCAGTCGCTAACTAGAGACGCGGCCCAAGCAAAGTTTCGTGTACTAACAGACACCCCTAATAAAGCCCCTTTGACACTTGCTTTTCAATGCCCAAGTGATCAAAGAAATTGCAAAAACAAAGTTGATGCCCGTGACTTAATATATAGTCGACTTTTCATGCAAATATACTAAAAGCTCTCCTGTCCGTCAAGGACTATCAATTTTGTTACTCTTTCATCTCGAGCAATTTAAAGTGAAGATCGTTTAACGTAAGAGACATTTGATTGTTGCTCTTCGACGTCGTCAAATCTGTTGCTTTTCTAAAACGATTTTTTTTCAATGCCTACCTTTAATGCTTTACAAAGTCTTAAGAAATGTTCACTGGAAAAATTGTATGCTAGTTTAGAATGAAATAAATACCTTTTAAATCGCTAAAAGGAACTCGCTCCCCTCCCCGCCCCCGTCACAAAATTAAAAATTTAGTTTTAAGCGTGTACAAGACTCACTTTGTGCGCTTTGATATTTATTCATGCAAAGCAGTCAACCTTTTCAATCGATCAACCCCAGCCCAATAACACGAGGTCAGTCTGTCTAAAATAAACAACAATTTGAGTTTCCTTTGAAACTAAAATCAACAAATAGCGTTAGTTTATAATAAGAAATCTGCTGTGTAAATGAAAAATGCAAACACTTCGCCCATGTTGATCAAGCTTAATCCACGAAAACTATAGTCGAGGTAAATTTAATTTTTTCTCATTACTGAAACTATCTTTGGGGTATGTCAAGAACTGGGAATTAGCAAATTCTTTTGATTAATGAAATAAATGTTCAAGTTCGCGAAACGCAATGGTCTTGTTTGAAGCATTCCGAAATCGATTACGAAATTATATTATTTTCCACTCTAAAACAAACCTATATAGCAACAATATTTTGTTTTCTCAAAAACACTTTAAGATATCTGAAATTCAAATTTACTGATAACTAACTGACAACTAAAATCATGGTTAAATGAAGACCTTCTAGTCGTTTTTGTGGACAAAAATCAGTTACAAAAAAAAAATTCAGGGAAAAATATGCGAAAATCCGGGGTCAACAATTTTAATTTAGATATAAGCTGTGAAACGTGTTCAAGGGTAGTAATAGTTTAAACCAGTCATCGATTAAAACTAGTATTTGCTGGTTCGTTCGTAACTGGTTCAAGAAATGATGATCGACCTCCGGCCTCTGAAGCGTTTGAAAAACACTCGAAAACAATGTTAAAATTTGCTTGATTTGCATGTGCAAATGACCTATAAAAGTTCTGGAACAATAAAACGTAGAATACATATTGTACTATGAGAAGATTATAAGACTCCTTGAAAAGCAATCAATTTCCGACAAATTGCTTTACTTCGACATCCTAAAACATCACAGCCATGTTTGTATTTTACTGTCTATATTTAATGAATTTTATATCTTTCGGTGAATATTTAAAGTATTAGATGGACATAAGCTTTTCGTATATTAAGAAGCAAAACAAATCCATTTGGCTAAATCTGGCTCTAATTTAAATGAGTGAGAATTTATCACAATACTCTCGCAATTTTAATGTAAACGTCTTAAGAGCTATACCACAACTAAATGTTTTAAATTTTTTAATCCTATCGATCGAAATCAAGAACCCAAACCATTTTTATGAGTTTCTGCGGTTCGTTTAGTGGTATAAACACAGCCGCGGAGTAATTATTGAGCAAAGATTAACGAATTATAAAAAGGCTTCAGTATTCGCAAATAATGTTGTGGTTACCGTCCGTCCGTGCTAAAATGCATTGTTCACGCAAAACCAATACAGTAAATTTGATGAGTTTTATAGGCTAGAAAGATAAAAATGCTCGCATTTTTAGGGAGGACAAATCTCATAAAAACAGATGATTTAAAGGGCAGCGTGAAACCTTATGTCTTCCTTAACCGGCCGGTTAAATTTCTAAGTTCAGTCTCTAAACCAACAAAGCTCACACGAGGAAGCAAGTCTGATGGCGTCGATATCGGGTCGTTGTGGTTTCTGCTTCCGCCTCTCCTTACTAAATCTTCCGCAGCTAGATTTGTCATGGCAGTTTTCCATTTAATTTTTAATTCTATCATAAACGTAGCCAGACAGATTTGCATTTGCGTCTGCCTTGCGCATGCAGGGTTTTTTGTCCTTGGGTTGGCACGCTTTTTGAGAGATTTTCATT